TGAAAGATATTAAAAACCAGCCATAGATTCTGAAGATCCTTCTGAAAGCAGCCCAGAAGTCCCTGGGGCTGTGGCAGGACTATTGTAAAACTTGTGTCTTTCATTTAAAGCAGTGTGTAGAGGGAATTTTATAGCACTAAATGCCCACAAGAGAAAGCAGGAAAGATCTAAAATTGACACCCTAACACCACAATTAAAAGAACTAGAGAAGCAAGAGCTAACACATTCAAAAGCTAGCAGAAGGCAACAAATAACTAAGATTAGAGCAGAACTGAAGGATATAGAGACACAAAAAATCCTTCAAAAAATTAATGAATCCAGGAGCTGATTTTTTGAAAAGATCAACAAAATTGATAGACTGCTAGCAAGACTAATAAAGAAGAAAAGAGAGAAGAATCAAATACATGCAATAAAAAATGATAAAGGGGATATCACCACCGATCCCACAGAAATACAAACTACCATCAGAGAATACTGTAAACACCTCTATGCAAATAAACTAGAAAATCTAGAAGAAATAGATAAATTCCTGGACACGTACACCCTCCCAAGACTAAACCAGGAAGACGTTGAATCCCTGAATAGACCAATAACAGGCTCTGAAATTGAGGCAATAATTAATAGCCTACCAACCAAAAAAAGTCCAGGACCAGACAGATTCACAGCTAATTCTACCAGAGGTACAAAGAGGAGCTGGTATTATTCCTTCTGAAACTATTCCATTAATAGAAAAAGAGAGAATCCTCCCTAACGCATTTTATGAGGCCAGCATCATCCTGATACCAAAGCCTGGCAGAGACACAACAAAAAAAAAGAGAATTTTAGACCAATATCCCTGACGAACATCGATGCGAAAATCCTCAATAAAATACTGGCAAACTGAAACCAGTAGCACATCAAAAAGCTTATCCACCACAATCAAGTTGGCTTCATTCCTGGGATGCAAGGCTGGTTCAACATATGGAAATCAATAAACATAATCCATCACATAAACAGAACCAAAGATAAAAATCACATGATTATCTCAATAGATGCAGAAAAGGCCTTCAACAAAATTCAACAGCCCTTCATATAAAAAATCTCCATAAACTAGGTATTGATGGAACGGATCTCAAAATAATAAGAGCTATTTATGACAAACCCACAGTCAATATCATACTGAATGGGCAAAAACTGGAAGCATTCCCTTTGAAAACTGGCACAAGACAGGGATGCCCTCTCTCACCACTCCTATTCAACATAGTGTTGGAAATTCTGGCCAAGGCAATCAGACAAGAGAAAGAAATAAAGGGTATTCAATTAGGAAAAGAAGAAGTCAAATTGTCCCTGTTTGCAGATGACATGATTGTATATTTAGAAAACCCCATCGTCTCAGCCCAAAATCTCCTTAAGCTGATAAACAACTTCAGCAAAGTCTCAGGATACAAAATCAATGTGCAAAAATCACAACCAGTCCTGTACACCAATAACAGACAAACAGAGAGCCAAATCATGAGTGAACTCCCATTCACAATTACTACAAAGAAAATAAAATACCTAGGAATCCAGCTTACAAGGGATGTGAAAGACCTCTTCAAGGAGAACTACAAACCACTGCTCAACGAAATAAAAGAGGACACAAACAAATAAACAAATGGAAGAACTTTCCATGCTCATGGACAGGAAGAATCAATATCATGAAAATGGCCATACTACCCAAGGTAATTTATCGATTCAATGCCATCCCCATCAAGCTACCAATGACTTTCTTCACAGAGTTGAAAAAAACACTACTTTAAAGTTCATATGGAACCAAAAAAGAGCCCACATTGCCAAGACAATGCTAAGCTGGAGGCATCATGCTACCTGACTTCAAACTATACTACAAGGCTACAGTAACCAAAACAGCATGGTACTGGTACCAAAACAGAGATATAGACCAATGAAACAGAACAGAGGCCTCAGCAATAACACCACACATCTACAACCATCTGATCTTTGACAAACCTGACAAAAACAAGAAATGGGGAAAAGATTCCCTATTTCATAAATGGTGCTGTGAAAACTGGCTAGCCATGTGTAGAAAGCTGAAACTGGATCCCTTCCTTACACCTTAGACAAAAATTAATTCAAGATGGATTAAAGACTTAAATGTTAGACCTAAAATCATAAAAGCCCTAGAAGCAAAGCTAGGCAATACCATTCAGGACATAGGCATAAGCAAGGACTTCATGACTAAAACACCAAAAGCAATGGCAACAAAAGCCAAAATAGACAAATGGTTCTAAATAAACTAAAGAGCTTCTGTACAGCAAAAGAAACTACCATCAGAGTGAACAGGCAACCTAAGGAATGGGAGAAAATTTTTACAATCTACCCATCTGACAAAGGGCTAATATCCAGAATCCACAAATAACTTAAATTTATAAGAAAAAATCAAACAACCCCATCAAAAAGTGGGCAAAGGATATGAACAGACATTTTTCAAAAGAAGACATTTATGCAGCCAACAGACACTTGAAATAATGCTCATCATCACTGGTCATCAGAGAAATGCAAATCAAAACCACAATGAGATACCATCTCACACCAGTTAAAATGGCAATCATTAAAAAGTCAGGAAACAACATGCTGGAGAGAACTGGAGAAATAGGAACGTTTTTACACTGTTGGTGGGAGTGTAAACTAGTTCAACCATTGTGGAAGACAGTGTGGCAATTCCTCAAGGATCTAGAACTAGAAATACCACTTGACCCAGCCATCCCATTACTGGGTATATACCCAAAGGATTATAAATCGTGCTACTGTAAAGACACATGCACACGTATGTTTATTGCAGCACTATTCACAATAGCAAAGACGTGGAACCAACCCAAATGTCCATCAATAATAGACTGGATAAAGAAAATGTGGCACATATACACCATGGAATACTATGCAGCCTTAAAAAAGGATGAGTTCATGTCCTTTGCAGGGACATGGATGAAGCTAGAAACCATCATTCTGAGCAAACTATCGCAAGGATAGAAAACCAAACACCGCATGTTCTCACTCACAGGTGGGAATTGAACAGTGAGAACACTAGGACACAGGGTAGGGAACATCACACACTGGGGCCTGTCATGGTGTGGGGGCTTGGGGAGGGATAGCATTAGGATAAATACCTAACATAAATGACGAATTAATGAGTGCAGCAAAGCAGCATGGCATATGTATACTATATGTAACAAACCTGCACATTGTGCACATGTACCCTAGAACTTAAAATATAAAAAACAAAAAAGAAATAAAAAATAAATTGTGTCTTTATGTTTAAAAATAAAGTATCTTCTTATTATATTAAAAAAAAAAAGTATCTTGGCACAGTGGCTCGTGCCCGTAATCCCAGCACTTTGGGAAGCCGAGGCGGGTGGATCACTTGAGGTCAGGAGTTCAAGACCAGCCTGGCCAACATAGTAAAACCCCATCTCTACTAAAAATACAAAAAATTAGCTGGGCGTGGTGGCAGGTGCCTGTAATCCCAGCTACTTGGGAGGCTGAGGTAGGAGAATTGCTTGAACCTGGGAGGTGGAGGTTGCAGGGAGCCAAGATCCCACCACTGCAGTCTAGGCTGGGAGTTTTTCTCTAAATGTTTCTAGCTATCTTGCTTGTTTAAGAAAACAGGAGGAAAAATGATTTTCACCCGTTTTTAGAGCATGATTATGTGTGTGGAATTTATATCAATTGTCATGTCTGCCTGCTGAAGTTTTGGCAAAAATTTTGTTGGTACTGCCAAAGCTATTTGCAGAAAAGTCCAGCTAATTAAAATCCCTACGATGTCATAACACTTGAAATGAACCAACTTGGACATAAGACAATAGAAGTTACGTTGATTTTATTCTTAATGGCCATTTTATTTGCAAAGACCTCAAATTACCTACCTAACTGCATTAATCCCAGCATCAAGAATGAAAAACCCAGGTACCAACATGGAATGGTTAACTCTAAAGACTGACTTCAGGCCCATTTATTTGTAAGCTCTCTTGTTCCACTGTAAGCAGTTTGAGGGCAGGAACCAATCCTCCATGGCTTTGTAGGCCCCATGGTACCTCACAGAATGTCCCATCAGTACATTTTCTGTAAGTCTTATTTGAACAAATGAATGAGAATTTGATCTTGTCTTCTAGGAAATCATTACATCTGAGAGCAGGCTCATAGTGTGCATAAAATGTGAATGCTTTGATTTCTTTTTATTGTGGAGTAGTATCTGCTGAACTGACTACTAGGATTGAAATTTCTGTGTGATTATCACTCCTTTTGGTGACACTGTACTGAATGAAATAGGAAGCAATGAACTTCAGGCTCTCACAGAAGAAGGCTAAAGTACTACTTACTCTGTTTGAATTGCAGAAATCATAAATCTAGTTTTGCAATAAAGATGAATTAGGAAAGCTACAAAATACCATAATAAAAATTGAAGTGGGTCCAAAAAATCAATAAGCAGTTTTTAGTGTATAACATAAATCTATCACTAAGGCATACATACATAACTTTTTGTTTTTCTTTTCCATATATTTTATGTAAAATGGCATTTCTCAGAGTAATGGGATTTCTTTGAAAATAGAATGGGTAAATGTGTATATAATGACTCAGCTGGATCAGCTAGGTGGTGATCCTTTTAAACCACTGGCAAAATATCCCTCTACGGTGAGATCGATTTTCCCTGCATCTGGTAAGTCTCATGCCTTGGTAAATGCTCGCAGCTTGGTTTGCACCAGAAACATTCTGTAGCTATAATGCAGTCCAGCTCCTTTACTTTTCTTTGAGTTTTTTAAAAAATTAGTTCTCCTTCTCAACTAGATGGATGTTGGAATCCATCTGATGGAATTTTTGCCAAATACTCACAGCATTTATCAAGTCCATTGGCCTGAGGTTATGTGATAACTTAAGGACTTAGGAGGAAAAAAAAATTTTTTTTCTGTCATGCAGTTCCTGATGTTTGTCACAGGATAGTAAAAAATGTCTCAATTCTTCATTTTTAGATAACAATCAACAGAGACAGTGGTGAAGATGTAAGCTCCCCCAAACACGGGAAGGAGGACCCAGACAACATGCCTCACGTGGGCGGCAACACTTGGGCTGGCGGAACAGGTTGGTGGCACAAGCATTTTCCTGAGTCAGCCTTCCCAAGGTTTCCCAAGCCCATTAGGCCAGGACAGCGCCCCTGAGAAGACTCAGAGACCGGCTTTCCTTCTCAGCCTCCCTCATTACTCAGTTGGATTGTCGTCTTGCCCTCTACCCCAGCATGACATCAAGGCATGCGAAGAGCCTGGCATTTGGAGTCCCACAGGCTCTGCCACCCTGTGACCTAAGAACATGCTGACCCTCCTGGAGTTGCTTCATCAGTCAAAGGGGGATAGTGTGAACCACCTTAAGTTGTGGTGAGGATTAAATGAGATTACAATTGTTAAGCACTGAGCATGATGCCTGGCATAAAGCATATTTTCACTAAAGTGTTAATCCCTTCTTTCAAATTCCATGACCTTGGGATCATGCCAGAAATCCACAGTAAATTCTTTCTTGAGCAACTGACTTTGAAAAGAAATGGTCCTTGTCTTCCACGTCTTAGAAGTATGTTGAGGGTGCAAGATTTCAAGATAAGGCTGGTTGCAGTCTAAACCGATGGCCGACTCCTTCCTCTTGGCTGCCCAACTAGGGCATTGTTTCCAGGACTGCCGTCTTCCTTTTTCCTCTGCGGCAGCTGGAGCAGACACGTCTGCGAGGCCACAGGAATAGGGCCAGACTGTGTGCGCACTGTCTGAGCTTATCTCACCGTGAGGAGTGCTGGCAGGAGCTCTGTACTTCACCTTCCTTGGGATGGTCTGTGCCTCTTGGCCTTGACAGCCTCGGGAGGAAATGGGTTTCTCTGCTGAGACAATGTGCTATCAAATAGGCCTGTGGACTTCTTGTCTACTCTGTTTATTCATCAAGCATCAGCTTTAAAGTAAGGCTATTTTTAGAAATGTCCTTTGATCTGGAAGTTAGTGTCAAGCCAACAAGATTTAATCCATATGGAATGCATTGTGGAACGAGCCAGCCAGATGTGGTTTCCCAGCAGTGGACTACTCTGGGGGAGAAGTTCCTATTTGTTACCAAACTTGAATTTACTAGCTCACGTATCTGTCCAGATTGCGGCTACATTTGTTTCACCTGGCTTTTAGTTTTCAATTGATCAAGGCTCCTTGGCTTCAATTTCTCTTTTTCTCTCTGCCATTCTTTTCCCTCATAATTCTTTTCTTTGAAGTGAGCTCTGGCCCAACAAGTCATCTGATTCCCCTTTCTTCATCAATGCTCCTCCCTTGCCCACCCTCCCCATTATCTTCTGAACGGGTTTGGAATGTCCAGCTTAGCTTTAAGACTATGCCCTGCAGTCTTAGAACCTCTGGTAAGCATTTTCATTTAAATAGTACAAATTAAAGGCTCTGGGAAGTGGAGATCATGAAGAGCACCACCTGCTCCACCCCAGTGCAACTTTCCCCGGGGCCCTGTGACTCATGTGGCCAGTCACTCACACCAGCTTCTGATGTTTCCACCACTTTCTCCCTTTCACCAGAATGATAACATCTCAGCACTTAGGAAACTTTCAGCTCAAATTCATGATCCACCCATACTCAAGATACCCTGCTGTAGGAAAGGAGTTAGATCCCAGAAACACCTTTTCCTCCTATAGCTCATTGTCACTGTCCAGTTACTGCACCCCTCCGCCTATTGGCTGGCCATGAGTAAGAAATGGGAGTCACACACATCCCAGAAGGAATTTTCCACCACCCTTCTCTAAATAAAAGTGAAATATGTTCCAATCAAAAGATTAGAGTAGTGTAATTAATAGGCAGTTCTCATAGTATTTCCCAAAAAGAAATGACCTACCTGGACTTTCAAAAGGGGAGCAGTTCATATTGAGTTCTTGGTTTTAGTTTTATTAGACCAGTGAAAGCTCAGTGGTGAGGTGAGGGTGGGGGTGGGGGTGGTGATGGTGAAAGAAAAATGTAACATAATTTACCCAAAGTCTAAAAGCCTTCAAATTTTCCACTTTATGAAACTAGAAATTGCCTAATTCTGCATAACTAGGCTTTGTTTTATAATAGTAAAAGCAGTCCGTTATATACCTTTTATTATGTGCCAGATACTGCTGTAAGCATTTTAGCTTCATGACAATCCCATGAAGGAAATAATATTAGTATCCCCACTTTATAGAGAGGAGCCTGAGACACAGAGAAGTTAAGTAATTCCCCAAAGATAAATGGCTGGTGGGTTGGAACCAGGATTCAAACCCAAGCAGTCTGGTTTAACTATATCATAACATACAATAGCAGCATATTATAATATACCATACTGTACTATACTGCCCCTCCAATATTGGATTCTCTTCTAAGTTCTCAAGTTACATGTGAATAAACAAAAGAAACGAGTTACTAGTATTCTAATCTACCCCTAAATAGGGGTAACAAGCTTATAGCCCAAAGGCCAAATCTAGCCAACAGATATATTTTTTTCCTCTGGTCCATGTAGTGTTTTAAAATAATTTCAATTTGGATGTATTTAGACAAGGTAAATCCTCTCTAAGTTAGTCAATGTCCCCACAACTTTTTATCATATGACCTACCTGGCCTTACAGGCATTTACAACATGAACAGTTCATACAATGTTATGTTATAAAATGTAGTATGTATATGTAATATGTATTATGTGAACTTGAGTTTCTATTGAAAGACTGTTCTAAAGCTGGTGGTGTTTACGTTATATACTGTTCAAACCAAAAGTCAAAGTGGGTGTAATAATTGGCTTCTAATCTTGGCTAAGCCAGTGATATCAGGTCATGAATATTTAGCCTCTCTCATTATTTTTATAACTTGCAAAGCAGAAAAAAACAGTATTTATAGCCTGACCATCCAGGTATTTTAAGGAAAACTAAGGTAATACCTGAGGGAAGGGAACAGTTGTTCATTTAATTAGCAAATATATACTAAGTATCTATTGATATTCAAACCACTCTTATAGGTGCGGTAGTACAAAAATAAATAAAATATCTCATCTATCATATAGTTAGTGAGAAAAATAAATATGAAATAGTACACAAGAGTATGAATCCCTATGAGGTAGCAGCATTAGCTAAGGTGTCGTAGAAGTTGGAGTAAGCTTTGATGTATAGGTAGTATTTGAACAGATGGGAAAAAGGAAAAACATCCTAAACAAGAGAATACATCTTTTTCCAGAAGAAGGTAATTTGACTGTTTAATTACTAGTTAAGTACAGTTAATATCCTCCACAAGCCTGTCCTAAAACCATGACCCAACTTTTGTTCTATGGTCAAGTTCAGATTTATCATCCGAATTTCCATATTTTCCTTCCAGGGGGAAGAGACACGGCAGGCCTGGGTGGCAAAGGAGGCCCTTACCGGCTGGATGCAGGCCATACGGTGTACCAGGTCTCTCAGGCTGAGAAAGATGCAGTTCCCGAGGAGGTCAAGAGAGCTGCTAGAGAGATGGGCCAGAGAGCATTCCAGCAGAGGTCAGTGTTCCCATCGCGTTTAGAGCAGCACTACTGTTATGGTGAAATGTCACAGTGGACTGTGGGGAAACCTAGATTTGTGTGCGTTTCCACCTTATGCAGCAACTCGGACCTCAAACTGAAATCCACGGATATCCCCATCCCTAACTGAAACAGCCAAATAAACAAAATCCCCTGTTCTTTCTACTCAGGCTCCTTAAAATCTAAAGCTCAAATCACCCCGTCCATGTCTATCTGTTCCTAGGCAACATAGGGAATTCAGGTAAGTCTACACAATGGTCCCTTCCTGCCCTCAGAAATCTTGCAGATTAGTATGGAGACAGGACAGGGGAACACACACACACACACACACACACACACACACACACACACACAGAGAGAGTTAAATGCTAAAGTCATAGGGTGCAGAGGTTGTCCCCTCCAGCAGTACAAAGAAAGGCAAGTTTAGTGGGCTGCTGTGAGGTGCGGCCAGAGCTCAGCTAGGATTTAGAGATGGGAAGAGAAGAGCCAGAATATTCCAGAAAGGGAAAACGAAATGAGCAGAGGCACCAGGGCAGGATGAGCATAGTGTCTGTGGCAGAGAGAGGCAGCTTGCCCACGCAGGATAATGGGTACCAGCTTGGGAGGAGGGACAGTGAGTTTGGATGGGGAGGCCTCATCAGTGAGTAGAGACCTTAATATAGGCCAATGACCCTGTGGCCCTTGGACATTCCCCAGCTGTTCTGGGCCACGACAATTGGAGCCATTTAAAAAATAAGAAGAATCCACATGATGTTACCCTAGACATCCACATGTGTGCTTCAGCTAAAAGTGAAAAATACCAAAGAACCACCAATATTCCCTTTCAGATTCCAGGACCTGGTAATAGTTTGGGAAGCAGATTTACATTTTTGTGCTGCATGAGAGGAGCTGGGCGCAGTTAGAAAAAAGCATGCTAAAGTGTATGAGTTATGAAATTCCTCCCACGTAGAACATCTGGTATTACATTACATGCTGTGCTTCCACATCCTGCAAGTAAACAGTACAGGACAATAGAGACAAGAATGCAGGCCCTGCCGCCACACCCTCAGGAAAGCCTGCCAGTTCAGACCCTCGCGGGTTCAGGGTTCAGCAGGTAAAGAACACACTCGATGCTAGAGGCAAGAGTGTTGCTCTCAGCCCTTCTGCTGGCTTCCCTGGTGACTGTTGACAGTTTGTCTGTCCTCTTTGTGCCTGAATTTGCTCTTCTGGAAATAAAATTCACTCTCCCTTTCTCCCAGGGAGGTTATGAGAACAAGTAACTATGTTAGGAATGAAAGTGTTTAAACCTCTCAAAAAAAGGTAGAGAATAGTGAAGTGAACGGTCTTGTTAGAATGAAAGTTCTCTACATTTCTTATGAATTATAAAGTACGCATTTAGGAAAAGAACTAAACAGTTGGACATGTGTCATTCTCCCCTCCCCAATTAATGAGTTCCTATTGTTGCCACCCTTAAAACCTGCCAAGTAATTATTCAGTCTAAATGTTTGCCCAAGTGGACAGGTAGATAGAGTGTTCTGGCACACACATAGTTCACAGGGAGGCAGAAAGCTAACAGTGCTTGTACCTCCTTCTCCTGTTGCCATAATAGGAGTAAGGAGTGTGGTTCTGTTAAGGACAATTGCCCTACAGGGGAAGAAGTCAAGGGGCATCTGTGCCATAACGCAAAGGAATTTAACGGATGTAAGAGAGGAAAGAGAGGACATGGGGAAGGGATGAGGAAAATATACACATCTAGTAAATGCTGCAGAGAAGAGTCGCAGTTGAAGTAAAAGAGAATACTATAAGGTGGTTGAAAGACAGAGGAGTTGGGCAAGGGTGTGAGAAACGAGAGAAAGAAATAGAAACACATGGAGATCCTGAGAAAGATGGGGCCCAGCAAAACACCAAGAGAAAGATGTTGCTTTCTATTTTCATGTAGAAATGGAACTTTCATCCCATTTGGTGAGTAATTTCATTTAATGCTGCTGAAAATTTTTCAACTTTTTATGAGGAACTTTTCAAACATAAAAGTTGAGAAGAACATATAATGAATGCTATGGATCCGACCCCCCAACTTCAAGAGGAAAAATCTGGCTCCACTCCTAGTCTTCTCTGCTGGCTTGTTTTGAAGCTAATCCAAGACTTCTATCATTTCATTGTAAATATTTCCAAGTGTATCTCCATAATATAAAAAGGAAAAAATACAAACTCACAATACTATTATTAAGTCTTTAAAAAGTAATAATTCTTCACTATCATCAAATAAGTTTTAAAACAATTTTGCCGCTTACGCATATGCGGAATGAGGTCAGTTCCCACCATTGATCCTTTTATGGCATCCTGTACTTTTTCTCCATAACTCTTAGCACTGTTTCCCATTATGTGGCTTGTGAATAGTTGATTATCTCTCCACTGACTATAAGTTTCTGGGGGGCAGGCATCCGTCTGTTTTGTGCTCTAGTGTAACCCCAGGACCTACACCCAGAACGTGGTATGTAGCAAACCTTCATATGTATTTGTGGAATGAATGATACACACATGCATACAAGTAATGGAGTCATCCTTTAGTACTTAATTCAGAGACTGACTGAAACTAGGCAGTCCTAGCTATGAGCCAGAAAGTGTGTGCTAGTGCCTTGGAGAGCCTAATGCTGCTAAATGGGTTCCTGACATCATCAACACAGCATTTTGATAGCATCTATGTGTATCTGGTTTTAAGCTAGATACCAGCCCCTACATATCAAGAATATATTAACTCAGGCAGACTAACAAAGAAAGACAAGCATAAAACGTGAATAAAATAGAACAGAAACATCGTACCAGTGAAAAGCAAATGAAATAGACAGTGAGGTACATGTACACACTTAGAAAAAGCGTTTAGGGTGGGCACCAGCTGTGGAGATTGCATCCACTACCATTTGCAAAATTAATCAGCCTCACACAGTGGATCTAAGCTTATGGTTGTTTTCCTTATAATTGATTTAAAATTATAGTATTTAAGTCTGACCTATAAGAAAAAGTAAAATGAGAACTAAAATTCCCAGACTCTTACGTAACAATAAATATACCCTTTAAAAATATACTGTGCCAACAAAATGCAGTTAGTCCACATAGATTACTAGGATGTGAAGCAGCTGTGCCCTGCAGTTTTGATCAGGGTTAAAGAAGCAGAAAGATGTATTTCCAGCTAGTTTTGTGGGCTTGAGAGTATTAGCAATGGGTACCTCATTTGATCCAGAGGCTAAAATTTCTCTTTTCTTTCTTTCTACGTCCCCTGCTTCAGTCATCATCTTTCAAATTTTATCAGCTTTGATTGCCTTGTAGGTGATCTTTCTGAAAACCGACACAATCTGGAATATGGTTTCCAGATTTCTTCATAATTAAAACAGCATGTGGTGTGTTTTGGGTGCAACATGATCGCACCAGTGGTAGCCCTATAACTGGAGCTAATTCTGATCACTCTGCAAAGACCAGTCTGCTAGAGGTGGCTTACCAAATGGCTAGCTCCTTCCTTGATATGTATGTGTGTATGTACATATGTGTTTTTATGTGTGTATATTTGTTTGTATTTACATATACACCCACAACCCCATACCTCCAACATTGCACGTGTGCGCACCCACACACACACAGTAGTTCAGAAGATTGTGTTGTGGTTAGGCTTTTGAGATATATGTTCATTATTCCCTGTCCTAATATCAGTACCTTTTCTATTTATAGAAATATGTGATTAAATTAGCGCATTAGGGATACGGCACTGTAAAACCCAAGAGAGGTCACCCAGCAAATGAACTTTCTACTTACAGTTAGGTTAAGTTGCTGCATTTTAAATAATCCTGAGTTGTATTTTTATTTCAGCCATTCAGTTCATTTTGAGCATCCATTATATGTTAGGTACTATGCTATATATGTGTATATATATATATGTTTTCTCTCTCTCTCCTCCATCCCCTCCTCACCCCAAGGACAGCTGTGTCTACATTTGTTTCTAATCAGTGCTAATCTCCCTTCTTTGAGAAGAAGCATATTGACATACACACACACACACCAGTTTAGGTACGAAGGAGTAGGTGGCGTGTCCTGCATTGTTCGTTGTGCCCAGCTTCTGTCAGCTTTGATACTTGAGACATAACTTAATCTAATAAAAAGTCATAGAGAGATTTCAGAGACTTCCAGAAACTAAATACAAGAGGTATTGTCAGGAGGTCAAGTCCTATACACATATTTCTTTTTATTCTTCAAGACTGAGAGTTAATTAGATTTAGAAATGCACCCTGGCATGTCACCTCAAGATACAACCATTCAGATATTATAGTGGCCTCGTCTGTATTTACCTTGTAATAGTCAATATTTTCAAAGAGCCATCCAGTAGCACTTACTGAGTGCCACTGTGTGCCAGGTATTGTGGTAGGTACTGGAAGTTCAATGAAAAAATAAAACATGGTCCTTCTCCCTGAGGAATAGAATAGAAAACATCAGAGTACATCCCATGTAATAAAATTATTTGTCATTAAATTTTTGTTTCAGTTATCCTATATACATACATGCATTTGTGTTTACAAGATCTCAATGTAAAACATTTCCTACTATGGAAAGAAAAATTTGAAAATACCATAAGAGAGGGCAACAGGCTTATCTATTAAAGAATAAAGTATGCGAGTTTCATGGTAGATGTCTGTATAGGGCACATGAAAAGGGAATGGCCAGCTTTACGCAAGGGCTCAAACAAGACTTCAGAAAGGATGTAGCCTTTGAGCTAGATCTTGAAACCTAAGTTGGTATTATCCAGTGGGGTGATAGGGCAGGAATGCCAGTCTACCCCATGGTAGTCTAGGCCCAGCATTATGTAATTGTAATAAGCTTCTAGAGCTCTCCCCCATGGTGAATGGATTTTTCTCAACCTGACAGGGAAGAATGGAGAACATTTATTCTCATTCAGTATTTGAGGTTTCTGTTTTAGCTCAAGGTGATAAAAAAATACACATTAGAAAAGAGTTTCTGCTATACACCTAGGATTCATATCTCCAACACTGCATGCATATACACCCACACCAGTTTAGAACATTATGTTATGCTTGGACTTTTGAGATTTGCACTTATTATTCTTTGTCCTAGTATCAGTACCTTTTATATTAATAGAAATTTATAGAAATGTGTGATTAAGTTAGTGTATTGTGGATACAACACTGTAAAACCCGAGAGGTCACTCTTTGAATGAACTTTCTACTGACTATTTGCTGCATTTTAAGTAGTGCTGAGTTGCATTTTTATTTCAGTCATTCATTTCTATTTATTCTGAGCACCCATTATATGTTAGTTCCATGCTAGGCACTGTAAAGATAAAGATGAGAAAGACTCAGCCCTTATCTAAAGGAGCATAGAGCCTAGTTGGGGAGACAGAAGGCAGATAGTTACAGCATGGAGAGCAAATTCTCTGAGGGAAGAATGAAGTGAGATAAGAGCACAGAAGAGAGACCTGGGGGTCAGAGCAGGCTTCCTGGAGGAGGCAATCATTGACTTGAGTCTTGAAGAGTAAGTGGGAGTTAGTAGGCAAAGTCAGGGGAAGGACACTCCAAGTGGGAGAGAAGCACTTGCAGGGCGTGTAATGTGTATGGGGAGCTTCCAGTGTGCTGGTGGGGCTTCAGTGAAGCAAATGATAAAAACTGATAAAAAGGAGCAGCATACTGGGAAGACAGAATTTCAAAGCCACAGTAATATTAAAATACAATTGTCCTGTCTAGATTACACTGTCAGCGATTTTAGAAAACTCTCACATAGGAGTACAGAGCAGCACATTCACTTACGTTCTTTAGGCTTGAACTGTTATCTTGGTCAACCAAATACACGATCTCAATCTTAAAAAGCAACCCATGGGAACCCTCTTAGGAATCTGCCACATGAACTGATCGGCTGAAACATCACAGTATGGCTTTGGGATATAGCAATGGTGTACCACAAAGCCAATTCATACTGGCTCATAAGAGCCAATGGTGCACATTTTTTTCTAACTCACTGTTCATAGCTTGTAACTGATCATGGTGGCAATATTTACATCATGGAAATCAGCAAACACTACAAATCTAGGACTTTTTTCTTGTCCTAGTTTGTTAACCTTTTACTAGCACACTACTGGATGTTACCTTCTTTGAATATGGAAGCATAGCTGGAGACATCGCTTCTTGCCTTTTCTCATTAACATGAATCTGAGTTTCCAAGAAGTTTGCTAAAGTTCTAGCAGGAGGTGAATGAAAGTAAAACCCCACATTTATGTGATTTAAGCTGTTAACTTTTTATACTCCTCTGGTTTCAGGCTAAAGGAGATCCAAATGAGTGAATACGATGCTGCAACCTATGAAAGGTTTTCAGGTGCTGTTCGGCGACAGGTGCACTCCCTCCGAATCATCCTGGATAATTTACAGGTAATCTTCTACTTATGGACCAAGAAAATAACCTGGGTCCAAACCTGGACACATTCCTAAAGTCTTGGAGAAAATTATCTGAACCCTAATTAGCCAGTCCAAAAAAATGTATCGATGTGAAAATGTCTGCATAAAACTGGACTATCCCATGGCTTTCTTTTTGATCATCCAGGGTATGTATTCTCTGTATCCCCGGCTCCTCCTCCTTCTGCTCTCCCCTTGCTCTCACATTGCCTACCCTTTTGCAGTTTCACAAAACTCTCAATGCTGAGGAACCAGTTAGTACTGCTACTGCTCCTGAAAATATTAAGACACTTCAGTATTTCCTAAGCATGACTATTGTTTGGAGATTTCACATTAGAAATTGTGCTCTGGTCAATTTACACAAATAATTTAGGAGGGGCTGAGTGTTCCTTAAAATCACAAACAAAATCAGATTATTTTGTCTAAAGAGAAAGCAAAACCTCATTTCAGGGCAAAGGGAGAAGGGTTGGGAGCCAAGCTGTACCCTGCTTCTCCATTCTACTGTGGAATCTTGTGTTTCTTTTCCATGAAGTATTTCAAGCTGATCGCCTTTCCCTTTTTGGTTCTTATTTGTAATTGTTCTTTTGGGGGAAGTTTCATTATTTTTGCTAAGTATTGGGGATTAGAACTTTTGTGATGCAGGTTTTAATCCACCATTTTAACCCAAAACTCTGGAAAAGCCTCATTTTTCAAAAGATCTAAACTGTATCCAGAGATTAATAAAAGTTCTATCATTTCCAAGAGGAAAGATCTTTATAATAATTAGCCAGATGTCTAATTTCAAAATCTAAGAAATGTAAAAATTAAACCATTTGCTTTTTTAAAAATCCATATGCAGTTATTTAGGATAAAACAGCGTAAGATTTTATATAAACTATGTGAACAACATGATGTTGAATGATTGGATCGTCTTACATAGTCGCTCATTTGACGAGTGTTCATTGCCCTGGACATGGAGAGCACCAGGACAGTGCCAGGTTGGCTCTGAGCTTCAGGGTAAGGCAATAGTTGGCTAAGGGCCAAAATGGGTGATTCAGAGGAGGTGAGGGTAGTGGGAGATGGTTCCTATCCTAAGACTGGAGAATGAGTGTGGTTCAGTGATTCACTCACTTCTTAAGTTCTCAATGCACACCAGGCATTAGAGATAGAAAACTAAGATACAGCTTCTGCCCTCAAAGAACGAACTCAAAGTCAACTAAATTTCCTAAGTTCTGTGGAGAATGTTGCACACAATGCTATGAGACAAAATGAGGAAAGGCTTCATGGAGAATGTAATGTTTGAATTTACTCTTGAAAGATGCTGAGGAATTTCCCATGTGCTTAAGAAGTCAAGGCATGTCTGACACAGGAAGCAGTATGCACAAGTGCACAGAGGTATAGGATTGTGCAGTGAGTTCAGAGAAAGACAGAGTATTTGGTATGGCTGAGAAAAGCACACCTTGGTGGGAGACAGTGTCAAGAGAGGAGGCTGCCAGAGTCGTAGGTACCAGATCCCGAATAGCCCTGGATGCCACAAGAACATGCAGACAACATTGAGTCCTACCCTGCGGGCAGAAACAGAGGCCCTTAGAGGATTCACAGTGCTACAAAGGGATATAAGAATACATTTTTAATTGAAGGTATCAGATTCCTCATCTGGTATTAGTTGATGTCTTGATTAGTATTTGTTGGGGACCATGCTATAGTTGCTTTTACAAGCACTATCACATTTAATCCTCAAATCAGCCCTTTACATAAATGGTATCATGTTTATACAATCAGCCAAAAGATGAAAAGTCAGGTCCACTGCTCTGACTTTTCACAGTCACACACGAACAAAGCCTGGGTTAGAATTAGAGTTAGCATCAAGGAATGGCTCTTCCACTAATCACCACAACAGTGACACCAGTATCAGAAAACAGAGTCCACTTTTGCTTTCAACTTTCAAAGAGGAATGAAAGAAAACTCTGAAGGTCTTAGGTAAAAGCAACAAGTAAGATTAAATGCATAGAAAGCAAAGTAACACCCATTTTTAAAAAATCCTTAAGGGGATTGGGGTCAATAACTTACTAAATATCCTCAACAAGAGTAATTATTTCAGGAGAGTTTTTATTCTCTTCCACTCTGGAGATCTAAAACGAGAAAATAGGCTTCACTGATACCAAGAAGGAGTTTTAAGATATAGGAAGGAAGATAAAAGCAATTTAATCCTTGAATAAGTAGCTAAAAGAGATGTAGCACTTCCATCTTTAGAAATCTTTACAAACAATACCAGCATTATAATAATAGCAAGCATTTACTGAGAATTTACCATGCACCAGGCATTCTACTAGGTGCTTTATATTGTCGTCATCACCAAGATCACCTCCATCATTATTGTCATCCTCTGCAGCCAGACAGCCTGGGTTCTATAAAATGGGAATGACAGATAATAGTGTGTTAGTGAGAACTCTGATGATATACATAAACAGTGCCTAGTATGCAGCATTCTCTACAGAAGGATTCGCTTCATTGTTACCTTCATTGTACTTGCTAAGATTTATCAGCCTGCATTACAGGCCAGGTACCCAGTCAGGTACTTTACATTCATTGTGTTATTTAATCTCTACAGAAACCAGTATATGTGTAATTTTCTACATTTGATAGATGAAGAAACATACATTGTGTCAATTCTCATAATCCTGTGAATATTGGTCCCATTTTTGCCATCTTTTGCCCCCATTTTATAAATGAGAGACCTGAAGATTAGAAAGATGGTGTAACCTGTCCTGGGCTGTATGGCTAGCGAGGCAGGCGTCTGGGCCCAAAGCTCAGTTCATTGTTTTTTGTTAGGGTCTCTGTTCTCTTCTTCCAATTCAACGATTCCATAAAAAGTGTATTCTTACATATACTCATAAAACATTGTGCATCATTATCCAAATGCCAACACAGCATTTTTCAAGTGTTTTCCTTGTTGAATCTTTATTTTTATTCCATAGGGGAGTTATTCTCCGGTGGGCCTTCTAGTCCTCAATTTAGGAAGATAGGGCTAGTTTAAAACATAGCTACTGGCCAAGCATGGACATGGCCTTGTGTAGAATATGGAACTTTAGATTGAAAACAAAGCAAGGAACCTTTGATTTGGTTCCATTTTGCCATCTTCTGCCAGTCCTGTGTGGCTCCGATTGACTAATATCTTCCAGCTGTTTTGAGGTTGCTATGTAATCCAAGTAACCATGGGTGTTTCCTTGGTGAACAGCACAAAGTTTGGCCAGGAACTAGCAAATCATCACTTGAGATGACTTTCCAAAGCACAGCCTCAGGCCCACTCATTGATTCCAGGTGGGATTTGAGGAGCAGGAAATGCCGTTGCCACCCATGTTAATGTCTGCTTTAACATGTGCCTGTGTTGCAGTACATATCTTTCTTCTCGATTAAGATAGCTATCACCAGTGACTTTTCTTGGCTTCTTTGAGTTATTGTACCTTTTTTCTTTTGTGAATCGATCACATGAGTCTTCTCATCAGTCCATAAATACTTCAATTATACTTGGTTCAGAATCTCAATCTCCTATTGCAGCATGCATGCTCTAACAAAAAACCACTTGATTTTAATCATATCTTCTCTCCAATGTTTTTCAGATCTATAATCATAATTTCATTCTCAGGCTAAACTAAATTAAACTTTCTCTGATTGCTTTGGCTAGCATGATATCTCCATGAACCAACAATTATGTTCCTATTTTCCCCTGTGGTGTTTCACACTAAGCTTTTGTTCAGATAAACAGTGCTCTGAACACTGATTGTGTGGCATGCACTGTGCTTGGCACTGAGGGCACAGAGATTGATAAGATAGTGTCCCTGTACTAAGAAAATTCTGGGCTTGAGGGGCAGAGAAGACAGACACCTAAAGAGATCATTCCATTTAATATGGTAAGTACCTAGGTAGAGGGAGGCTTAGAATGTGGTGGAGCTCAGAAGAAATGGATTCAAGGATAGATTTGGAGGTAGGGGTACATGAACTGAGCCTTGAGGGACACACAAGTATTAACCAGACAGAGAAGGGTGGAAACAAGGCCCCAGTAGAGGGCACAGCACAGACAGATGCATGACACTGTGTGGTCTCAGGCATGAGCTGAGAGCTGGTTCTGTCTTCTCCAGGACGTTTTATAGCCATGGAGGAGAAAGTTTCAGAGACAAGAGAGGTGGAAGTCAGGAGAATAAATCATAAAACAGTATCAGTTATTTGGGTGAGAAGTGATAGGAACCTGAACCAGGGTAATTGAAATGAAAATGGAAAGAATGAGACAAATTCAAGAAGCAGTTTGGAGGTAGGAGAAAAAGACAAGTGACACTGAACGTGGGGGAAGGGAAATGGGAGGTTTTCAAGCCCTGGAGGACAGAAATAGGGGACACAGGAAGAAGACAGACTCGTGAAGAAAGCAAATGTTTGCTTTGGATGTTATAATATGTTGTCTTACTATTGGGACACCTGTGTAAAAATATCAAACATGATGTTTAAAGTTTTCAAAACCTGAATTTGGAGTTCGGGACAAGGTGAGGACTAGATAGGGTTTCATGTTTATGTGGATATTTATATATGTATTTTTGTGGTCATCTGAATAGAGAGACAGCCCAAGCCAAGGGAAGATATGTCAACTAAGGCAAGAGTGTAGAGCAAAGAGAGGGGAAGGGTGAGAACAGCCATGTCAAGGAATGTCTGCATGTCACAGGAGAGCAGCAAAGTGCCAGTTACTCTTTCTTAGCACATCATGAATGGCTCATCACTCAAGACATGGTGTCAGTGGCCATGAGAGGACAACTTCATCCAGGTGCAGCCTAGAAATATAGTCCTGACTTCTGGGCTGCATGGCTATGGGCATCTCTAACCCAGTCTTTGCTAGGTGACCATTAAAATTATTTAAATAGTCAAAAGCTTTACACATTGAAAACCCAACATGTCAGGAGAAATTAATGAAGAGGGCTAGTGACATGCAAACAGCTTTGAAGAATTTTTGC